TATATATATGAAAATTAGGTAGGTTGATGGCACATACCTGTAGTCCCAGCTACTCAGAAGGCTGAAGCACGAGAATCGCGAGGCAGAGGTTGCGGTGAGCCAAGATCATGCCATTGCACTCCAGCCTGGGCAACAACAGCAAAACTCTATCTCAGGAAAAAAAAATTATAATAAAATATTCAAATATTACACATCAAAACTTGTGGGATGCAGCAAAAGACCAATAGAAGAACATTTATATTCTTATAGGTTCACATTAGAAAGAAATAAAGAGGCCAGCCACAGTGGCTCATGCCTGTAGTCCCAGCACTTTAAGAGGCCGCGTGGATCCCTTAAGATCAGGAGTTCAAGACCTGCCTAGGCAACATGGTGAAACCTGTCTCTACTAAAAATGCACAAAATTAGCCAGGCATGGTATGGTGGCACATGCCTGTAGTCTCAGCTACTCTGGAGGCTGAGACAGGAGGATTCCCTGAGCCTGGGAGGTCAAGGCTGCGGTGAGCCGTGGTGGTGCTGCAGCCCTTCAGCCTGGGCAACAGAGTGAGACCCTGTCTCAAAAAAAAAAAAAAAAAAAAAAAAAAAGAAACATAAAGACGAAACATCCTTCTTAAAAAGTTAGAAAAAGAATAACCATAGCCAATGGAAAGGAAAAAAAAGACCGAGAACTAAAATTAGTTACATAGAAAACAAAGACTCAATAGAAACCATCAGCAAAGCCAAACGTTGCTTCTTTGAAATTAAAACAATCTGAAAACACTGATCAAGAAAAAGAATGGAATTAAAAAAGAGACATAATCCAGATACAGCAGAGATTAAAAAGAAAATGGAATATTGTAAACAATACTGAGCCAATATTTTTGACAATGTAAACAAAATGGACAAATTACTAGAAAAAAAAAATACAGCTTTCCAAAAATTACTCAATAAGAAATAGAAACCTGTAATAATTTGTAACAGCAAACATTGAAAACAACCTAAACGAGCTTAAAAATAAAAACTGAAGTGGTAGGAAGTATAGAATAGTCAAACAGTGGAACACTTTTCTTGTTTTATACTGAAGTGAAAATATATCTCTATATATATTGTGTGTGTGTGTTTGTTTTTTTTTGTTTGTTTTTGAGACAGAGTCTTGCTGTGTTGCCCAGGCTGGAGTGCAGTGGCATGATCTCGGTTCACTGCTCCCGGGTTCAAGTGATTCTCGTGCCTCAGCCTCCCAAAGTTCTGGGATTACAAGAGTGGGCCACCATGCCTGGCCTGGCTGTTGATCTTTTAAAATCTTTTTATCTACACTTTTGTGTAGGTCTGAAATATCTTAAAACATTAAATTTTTTTTGAGACAGGGTTTTGCTGTGTCTCCCAGACTGGAGTGCAGTGGCGCTGTCACAGCTGACTGTCTTGAACTCCTAGGTTCAAGCAATCCTTCCTCCTCAGCCCCCTGAAGTGCTGGGATGACAGGCATGAGCCACCCTACCCAGCCTCATCATATTACTTTTTAAATTAAAAAATAATAGAAAGTGAGGAAGTGAAAAGAGTGAAAGGAGTTTTGCTCTAAAGAGAACAAAGAAGGGCCGGGCGCAGTGGCTCACGCCTGTAATCCCAGCACTTTGGGAGGCCAAGGCAGGCAGATCACCTGAGGTCTGGAGTTCGAGACCAGCCCGGCCAACATGGTGAAACCCCATCTCTAGTAAAAATACAAAAATTAGCTGGGCGTGGTGATGGGTACCTGTAAACTCCCAGCTGCTTGGGAGGCTGAAGCAGGAGAATTGTTTGAACATGAGAGACTGAGTTGCAGTGAGCTGAGACTGAGCCACTGCACTCCAACTTGGATGACGGAGTGAGATTCTGCCTCAAAAATTTTAAAAAAAAATTAAATAAATAAAATTAAAATGCTATTGTTCCATTAACAGTTCAAGAACTTGAAGCTTTAAAGACTCTTCTTACTGAAATGGGTACTTTTTAAAAACGTATTGTTTATAAACATAGGACTGTATGTATTGTAAGAAGAGTAAGCCTTAGTTTTGACCTCCCAGAATATTAGGAAATTCTTAAAAATGAATTTACTTTTAATTGAATTTACTTTTAATTTGCTTCAATTAACAAAAATAGCCAGGCATGGTGACCCATGCGCGTAATCCCAGCACTTTGGGAGGCTGAGGTGGGAGGACTACTTAACCCCAGGAGCTGGAGAGCAACCTGAAGTCTGTAGTGAGATCTCATCTCTACCAAAAAAA